GTAGAGATGATCTTCCATCATCGGTCTCCAATAAGTGAAGTTGTCTGCGGTCGACTTGAACATATCTCCATCATGAGCTATGCCACTGGTCTCCATCTCGTCTCCCTCAGAACCCGTCGAACTCTGGCTCTGATACCACTGTTGGGAAAACTCGGTTCCCTCAGATCGGCTCAGGGGCCTTTGTGCGGAAGTCAATCAACAAGATCCTGATCTCGGATCTCGACAATACCTCGGCCTGAACTTCACCAGGTCAGGCAGCGCAGCGGAAAAATCAAAACGTAAACACAGGAGAGAGAGAGAGAGAAGAAGAAGAACACAACCAGATTTAACGTGGGAAAACCTTCTTGAATTAAGAAGTAAAAACCCACGGGACCTAGTCCAGATCAAAAATCCACTATGAAAATAATGGTTACAACGAATCAAATACACCACATAACTCAACCTCTCCAACAATGGTGATAATCAAACTACCCTAGAGATGTTTCACTCAAGCTCTCTCCAGAGATCTCTCAAATGCAAAGCATAAAGCTTTACTCAAACAATCAAATAATTTTCCTCTCAAATTTGTTCTCTCAAATCTGACCTAGCCTCCACCCACAACTAATGAGTATATATAGAGGAGGTGGAAGTTAGGGTTAGGGTTTTTAGGAAACCCCTCAAATGAGCTTGGGCTTAGCATTGAAGGAGGAAACCCAACAGCAAGAACCCACAAACCCTCATTGAAATGAGCCACTATGAATGTGTTTTTCTTTTTTTTTCTTTTTTTATTGATTGCTGTAACAACGATCGATAAGATAGAAGCTTTATTGATTAGAAATGTCAAAATAACCACATTTGATGGATCAATTTGAATGACTCAAAACATGCATAGGATTGACTAACATAATCTATATTTTTAAAATATTTAATTTATTATAATTTTTAAATAAAAGAGGTTATATTTACAACTTATTTTTCCTTACAACTTTTTACTACTATTTTTTTTATTGTTGGATCAAAATCAAATCAACAGCTCTCATTTGATATTATTATATAACCGTTAATTTAATTTTGATCTAATAATAAAGAAAATAGTTGTAAGGAATAATCTTTTTCTTTTAAAATTATAAATGACATAAAGTTATGTCATTTTAAGAGAGCGATAGACACATAATAATTTTTTTATTTAAAATTTAAATTTAAAAAAAAAACCAACTATTTTATCTCCCATGATTTTCATTTCTTGTGTCTATCTCTCTCTTAAAATGATATAATTTGTGTAATTTAAAGTGACAAACATCAAACCCTATATATATATATATATATATATATATATATATATATATATATATATGGGTTTTATTAATCTCATTTCTCATAAGATAGTAATCTTATATTGTAGAGAGAAAATGGTGGGTCCCACCATTACATAAAAAAATAGAAAGATGAGGTACAAAATTGAAGTGAGATAATATGAGAGAAGTTATCTTATGAGAAAGGATATACACACACATATTTATATATATATATATATATATATATATATATATGTTTACAACTTTTTTTGTTTACAACTCTTACAACCTCAACTATGTTCTCTCGAGAGAACATTCTCCATTAGTGTTCTCCCGGAAGAACATAGTTAAGGTTGTAAGAGTTGTAAACTAAAAAAATTGTAAACGTAACCTGCCCTATATATATATATATATATATATATATATATATATATATATATATATATATATATATATATATATATATATATATATATATTGACAAGCCAAAATAGGCCAACCCGCAATCCGTATTGGGCTGATAAAATGTTGGCTTGAAATATAGTAAGCTCCACGTGGCCCAACTGGAAGTTCTATGGAGGGAAATGAACAAATGTGCTCACAGATAATAAAAATTGATACTATTATCGAAAAAATCTCTGTTTTTATAGAGAAGAAAACTTTTCTCATTTTGGAGCAAAGAAAAAGTTATCTCCTGCTCAAACAAAGATGTGAGGTCATCATTCTTTTTAAAAAATAAAAGTATTTTTTTTTACCAGAATTCGATGTGAGAGTAGGAAACATTTGCTATCACGGACAATCATTGCCCTTTTATATATATTTGTTTTTATCGAGAAAAAAATTTGTCCTTTTAAAAGTTAGTTATTATAGTTAAAATTAATATTTTTTATTTAAAATTTAAATTAATAAAATTCTTACTTTCTCTCCCTATGATTTTATTATGTATCTATTTTTCTCATTTAAAATGATACAAATTTATATATGTCCTTCAAAAAGACAAACATTAATCTCTATTTATAAAAAAACAAAAATTCCCCAAGAGATGATCTGTAAATTTAACATGAAATTTGATATATGCTTGACCCTTGGACACGTGGAAGCATCTCACACACATATTTCGTGTGGAGGAAGTAGTATTGAAAATAATCATTCTATAAAACACCGTTGTTGTTATTGACTGGAAATTATGTGAGTGCAAAACGAACCAAGTATTGTTAATAGTAATTTGTTGTAATTCATTTACGTCCTGTTTTCGTATTAGAGATACGCTTTGAAAATTTTATGCAATATTCTGGTTTGGCAAATTTCAGTCATCAACATCAACTTGAATGGCCATTATGATTTATGAACGCAACCATATTCTAGTTAGGCAGATAAATTTTCATTTTGGATCGAGTTTCAGGGTATTTGACTAAAGACATGTGAATTTCAAAAAAATTCACCTATTTAATTTGTTGACTAAATGTTTTCCCAGACTAATGCAGAAAGAGGCGTTTCAGGTGGCTACGCATTTAGTCACGCACCTGACACATTCGTATTTCTGACTATGACGCATCTTGGTATTGTGCTGGTCAGATTTGTCAGAACGCGCACCTAATACAATCGCGTTCAAATGCGCACTAGGTATTGACGTGTTCAGACTTGTCAAAAATGTGCACTTGGTACAGACGTGTTCAGACACGTACCTAGTACAGATATGTTCAGATTTGTCAGAAACGCGCATGTGTCAAGTGCGTGACTAAACGCGCGTAGCCACCTGAAACACGTCTTCCTGCATTAGTTCGGTAAAACGTTTGATCAACGAACTAAATAAATAGATTTTTTTGAAATTTGCATTTCTTAGTCAAAAACCCCAAGTTTCAAAACAAACACAGAGAAGTCAGTGTGCTAAGCATGGTAAGCTGTGGTGATGAACAAGTTATCTGATTGGAATACATCTTTATTTTCACTAACATTCCCCCGGTTTATTTTCACAAACAAATCCCACGCAAACTAATAGTTTTAATAACCACTTAATTTTACAGTAACATTTTTTTAATAATCCTAAAATCATGATGAGTCTAGACTGGAGTATGTTATTACTTTATTAGAGTATTAGTGAGAAAGCATTTGGCTTTCTGCTGAAATTCTCATTGATCGCAGATTTTTTATTTTTTATTTTTTTGGCTATCATCCATCCTCATTGTCATGAGTCATGGAAATTACCAATGGTACAGGATTCTACTAGTTTAACTTCGCATGGCCCCATTACACTGACAAAGTGATTAATATTGAGGCCAATCAAATTAAAAAAAATATTTGACCCTGTAATTCCAATTGTTGTCTCCCACATTAATATTAAAAAAGTTTCGGATTTGTTGTTAAAGAACTATTTCAACTCAAAATCTTAAGGCATTGGGTGATGGCCTTTTTAATGATTTATATTATTCTCTAACACACCCCCTCACGCAAGAGCCTTTTGAGCTTGAAGTGTGGATATGGCGAACTCGTGACCTCATAGTCACTGAAGCTCTGATACCATGTTAAAAACCAATTCAACTCAAAACCTTAAGATGTTGGGTGATGGTCTTTTTAATGATTTATATTATATTCTCTAACACACCCTCTCACGCCAGAGCCCTTTGGGCTTGAAGCGTGAATATGGCACAAGTCCATTAATGGTCTGCCTTGTGCTTTTCTTAATTCCACCTAAAAGTGGGGGGCGGTGAGGATCGAACTCATGACCTTGTAGCCACTTAAGCTCTGATACCATATAAAGACCCACTTCAACCCAAAACCTTAAGGTATTGGGTGAGGCTAAGATAATTATTTTATATCTCTCTAACACACTCCCTCACGCAAGAGCCATTTGGGCTTGAAGAGTGGATATGACACAAGCTCATTATTGGTCCGTCTTGTGCTGCACAAGCCCATTTTTTGATCTGCCTTGTGCTTTTCTTAATTCCACCTGAAAGTGGGGGGCGGTGAGGGTCGAACTCGTGACCTCATGGTCACTGAAGCTCTGACACCATGTTAAAAATCAATTCAACCCAAAAACCTTAAGGTATTGAGTGAAAATCTTTTTAATGATTTATATTATATTCTGTAACATTTGTGATCAAGAGGGATTCAAAATATGTCATTCATGTCCAAAATAACAAGGCATGGAATGAAATGAAGTTTAGGGGTCACATTCAAGACAAATACTCTAATTACTGTGTTATTTGGAAATGAACACCACATACAGAGTTAATGTTAAGATCTCTTGAGGTTTTAGCAGTTGTAACCAAGAAGTACAAACTAAATGATGTCAAGCAGCAACAAGCAAATATAGGTGTGGGCCCGTAAATCCAGAGGAAGAGTAGAATACCTCGAGCATGATTTCAACAAGGTTAGCTTGTAGTTGAAAAATGGAGGTCATACCATATGACATGTCACATGGCTTTTGTTTATTAGATCTATCATACACAGTGACAGAGAAATAAAAGGATATGTATATTATAGGATCCAAATTTGAATTCCTTAGTTTGCATGTTTTGTATTGTCAAATTAATTAAACAATTTAACTACTTATACTTCAACCACCTTTTGAGACAAGAAGGAAATATTTAATTAACCATTTACAAAAATATTTAATTAATAAATCATGAATTTAAAAGAGACCATGAATTTAGAAGAGACCAATCATAAATTTAACTATAAATGGTTCAGTTGTTGATGTGCAAGAAACATTTTCCTTAATTTTATGCTAAAGAGAATACAGCATGTTTGGCAGTATAAAACCATAAACTAGGAAATAAACTTCACATAAGCCATCAAAATTGATTGCTTCAAATTATTACAAAAGGAAATAAGGAAATAGAAATGACATTTTACAGGCCTATATATCTATCTCTCGGGTACAGCTTAAGCTTTGCAGTGACTAAGAACTTATGTTAGCAGCTTTCCCTAAGGAGGTGAAGATCAGCCTGAAAATAAGAAGTGAACCAACCAAATTAACACAGCTCAACCAAAATTCCAAAATAACTTGCAGAACAAGAATAAAAATATGAAAACCATGAAAGTACAATGTTCAACAATTGTCTACCTGATAAGAGGCTTCTGCTGTGGAATAAGTGCAGGAGTTCCACTTAACAATGGTGCAGCCTTTGAGTTTGAAAAGTATAAGTTGCTACTTTTCATGTTACCATCATAATCTTTGACATGATTTCTATACTCAATATCATCTTCAAGCTCATCAACTTCTTCTACAAAGGCTTGATGCACATCATTCCGACCAGACATACTCTTCTCAATAGCTAGCTTTTCTTCTTCTTTAGAATTAGATGTATCAGTCACTGCTGCAAGTATAGGGTTCATTTGTTGGTTGCCTGTCACTGATCCATTGGTCTCGCTATTCCCAGAAGGAATATGCCCTGAAGATATCAGACAAGGTTTTTCACTCTTTTGTCCACCCATACTGTTGACTTCTGAGTCTTCAAATTTCATAGAACAAGAACTAGAAGTACTAATAGTTCTATCTTCGTGAACTTCCCTGCTGGGGGGAGGTACACGTACAAAGGCCTTGGAATTCCTCGAGTTATTATCCACGTTGTCCTCTGATCGCTTTCTCTTCCTCTCATCAACTTCTCCAAATACAACCGCTTTATCTTCTAGAGACTTTTCTGCTTGACCATGGCTAGAAGAAACCCTCAATTTGGAACTTCGTTTATTATCCCCAGTTACTTTAGACGGGCAGGAAGGCCGAACACCACCAGGAAATATGAAGTTAGGTATGTTACGGCGCTTCACATGGGACACATGCATATCCATTCCAGGTTTCCATAGAGTGTACGTGTTGACAGTATGCTTAAATTCTTCAACAGTTACCCTTATATCAAATTGTTCACCTTCATTCACTGGAACTCCTTGCTTACGTTGCAGACCCATAAAGTAACAGCAGTGGAAAGACCTAGATTTGTCTGAAAATTCACCAGGATACGGATGACACTGAAGCACACCGTAAGTGTGCCTCTCAATCTAGAAGTTTAAAGGACAACAAAATCAGGTTATGTATGAAATAAGAACATAAAATATTCAAACACAGAAACCCCCTCCTTTTGTTACCAAGAGCTAAACACAAAAAGAGACAGAGGTAGGCCGAAGCTTACTTGGGGGAAGGTAGTAAAACAAGATTTAATGGAGTGGGATATAAATTGGCGGACAGTATGTCTTAGAACGAAATGGAGAAAAGCTATACGTATAGTGGATGGTTAGACCCGCTGTTATTCCTATGTTTCAGATGGTCCCTTTTTAGTCCTTTTCCCCTTCATTTCCCCCACTTCTTCTTGTCCCTTTCTCTTTTACTTTTATTTATTATATATACATATATTTTTATTTTATTTTATTTTTATTTTATCTTATTTTATTTTTTTTATTTTATTTGTTTATTTTTATTTATTTATTTATTTATTTATTGCTTTTTTTACTTTTTTTTTCAACCGTTTTGTATCTTTCATGTGGGTTCATCTACAAACGACCCCAATTAATTTGGGATAAAAGTGTTGTTGATGTTGATGTTGTTGATGTTTCTCTTTTCTTTTCAAAAACGAAAATAAAGAAAGGGAAGTAAGAAATGAAATGATAGTGTTATACCTTCAATGTCAACTGGCGGAGACGAGACTCAACCCAGCCTTTCCATTGTCTAAAGTCATCTGCATTCTCTGCTGTAATGTCTATCTGTAGAAAGTTCTTATAAGCTTCGAAGAAGGGATAAGGCTCAAAAAGAGTATCCCAATCAGCATTGCCAGCCTCCATAGCCTACAGTAGTAAACGCGTCAAACTTAAGCAACCCAAATAACACAATAAGAACAAAATAAAATAAATAAAAACATATATTCAACAAAAATTATAACCGAACTTATCAAAATTAAGAAAATAAACCAGCCTACAAGAAATTGTTGCTTCCTTGATAATGTTATTCAATCCATTTATGAAAACTTCAACCAACCAACCACCAAGCTTATATTGTATTCTACATGGATCAATGATCAATCCTAATATGAAAACTTCAATATTGGTAAAAACATTTCATTTTGGTAGAAAAATAAACCCAGCTATTACCTAGAATTACCCAAAATTGCTGTTATTGAACACCGAAAAAAACTTGGCTTGTAGGCCAGGTTTCTTATATTGAATTTCATAGAGTTAGATGAAGAACAAAGTTAGTGCAGATAACAGAAGAATCTACTAGGAAATTATCATGTTGTCACAGGAGGGACCAGATTTACCAAACAAGTAAATTAACCTACATATCTAGCATAACTTCAATATACTGTCCCATTGCCAGATCTGATAATGGGAACTCTAACTTGAAGGCCCCATGTCAAATCATCTTGGGGCAATGGTGCAGTGCCCTTCACTTAATGGGATGAAACAAAAGAAAAAGGGAACCTTGGACCAAAATTTATTTCAATTTTCAAACTTCATATAGGTAAAGATAAAGCACCAATTCAACCAAAAAGCTTAAGTTGTTGGGTGAGGCTACATCAGTGATTTTATATATATCTAACACGCCTCCTCACACGAGAACCCATTGGGCTTGAAGGGTGGATGATGCATCAGACCCACCTTACCTATGCTAAGAAACTCCACAAGACTTTGTAAAAAAACCACTTCAACCCAAAACTTTAAAGTGTTGAGTGAGGGCCTTTTTAATGGTTTATATTATTCTCTAACACACCCCCTCACGCAAGAGCCATTTGGGCTTGAAACGTGGATATTGCATATGCCCAATTTTTTTTTCTTTTTTTTTTGGTTTACCTTATGCTTATTTAATTCCACAAGTGGAGGCGGTGAGGATCGAACTCGTAACCTTATGGTCACTGAAGATTTGATACCATGTAAAGAACCATTTCAACCCAAAACCTTAAGGTGTTGAGTGAGGGCATTTTTAATGGTTTTATATTATTCCATGTAAAAAACCAATTCAACCCAAAAGCTTAAACTGTTGGGTGAGGCTACATTAATGGTTTTATATATATCTAGCAATATAAACTGAACTAGACAGCTTGATTGAGACCATTTCCTAGAATTTGCCAAAAAGAAAACATTTTTGAAATCATCATATCATACCTCACATATTTCACTTCCCCTCCGAAACTCCTCTGACATAACATGCAATGTACTTGAGGTCACGTTGTAAGTAGAGTTCATGCAAGGATAAGCCGGAGTAATTATAGGCATTAGATGAAATCTATCCTTGGGATTTCTTCTAGGATCCCAAACTGGTAGTCCAAGAGATCCTTCTTCAATAGGACAAAGCATGACTGGGTTTGGCCATCGCCATTGAGTATATACCCTAAAGAATCGAGACACTAACATATTGGGCAGTGCATTAGGATATAGCTGGCATATTCGAGCAACAAGCAATGCCAAGTTTATACCACCAAGAAAACCCGCAACCTGCCCAGAAAATGCATTAGGAAAATCAGAAGAATACATTAAATAATAGTGAACGAATTTAGAACAGAGAATAAGCAATCCTGTGCACGAGCTATGCCATACATTTTTATAAACACCACGACGCTTTGCCCAAAACTTCATGCATCTCAATGTTGTACGAAAAGTCTGCATTTCAGAAACGGAATATAATCAATGACAAGAATGCCATAGAAAAGCTCAATTCAAAAATCTAAGCTGAATAAATTTCATATCAACCACCTGAATATTTGGAACCAAACGCATGACTTGATCAGTTACTCTACAACCATTAAGACTACGAACAGTTTGTTCATCTGCATTTTGTAATATTGATTCCTGTGATATATCTAAGTCCTGCCCAAAAAAATCCATTATTACTAAATGGTAAATAAAAATTAAGATAAAATTAAACACTTGTAAAGCCTGAACAAAAACATATATAGGGGAAGGAAGATATATTTCACATCTGTAGAAGATTTGTTTTCAAAAAAACTAAACGTTCTATTGTCAAGTCCCCAATTAATGGCTTCTTCCCTATCACTGACCAATGACTTAAAAATCTTTAATCCATTAACAGTTCAGGTAGAAAAATCAAATGCTGTCAAAATGCCATTTAAAAAACTAAGGATCCTTCATATTATCCCCTTCAATACAGACTGTTTTCAAATTCTCAGGAAAACCACATAACCACAATTCCTGGGAAGGAGATAGCAATAGTATATATAGACAGAAACAAGAGGAATGAGAATTGTGCCAAAAGCATAGTTAATTGTTTTAGCATAAATCACTTACTTCGGGAATAACCCACAATGACAATCTGGCATACAGGAGATCTACCGAAACTCCATTGAACTTGAATCCTATCACTGGGACATGGGCATCAGGCACAGGGTGCAATTCTGTTACTTCCTGCATCTCCGATAGCATCTTACATAGCTCCCCAAAGAAATCTTCCTAAAGCCAATTTAAATAACAATTTTAGCTGACAGGAAATATAGCCTGAAAAACCTAAATTTGTACCAAAAAACAGCAAGAATTATCTTACATCTCTGGTTGCATGTCTAGGTCCCACACAAAGAGTATCTATATCAGCTCCAGGACCATGCACCTACAAGATTTGGAGTGAAAAATTTGGTGAAATAATAAAAGCAACAAAAAAATATATTACAATAGTAATATTGCAAAGATAAAAGTGTTTGCGCAAAAAAATTGGGAAATTAAGAATAGCTCCATACCCCTAGCCGATAGGAGCCAAAGGTGAAAATCTTGGCATTGGCTTCTTGCACCAGTTGTTCATTGAATCCCTTTTCCCGGCTAATGGATTTAACCCAAATCTTCACAATCTGATTCATATTACAACAGCACAATCAAAACAAAACAAATTCATAGGGATTTCCATTACATTTCCAACATTTTTTTTTGGACAAAAGTTTAGACTGAGACGAGGCTCTCCCCATTCCTAGGACTATATTTCCAACATGGTATGAATAGAAATTGGAACAAAATTCAACCTGGTCTAGCCTGCCAAGTACTTCCTCCCTGCACACTGCCTCCTCCTGACTCTCATACAATCCAGCACCTTGCAAGTACTGAACAACCACAAACCCAATTTCAGCACACAATAACTCTTAGAAAAGCTCAAAAGAAAAAATTATATATATATAAATTTATAATAAGCGCAAACAGAACCTTCTCAAGTTCACGGTTCTTGATCACATCACACTCAGTTGGTCCAGCCAATGAAATTGGCTCTGTAATGCCTAATCTTTGCTGCCCATTATTGCGATTGCTCAATCCAGGGGTCCCCATGAACAAATTGATAAACTTCTTTTTCTTTTTCTTTTTCTTTTTTTTGTAATTATTGTATGATATATTTTGTTTCAATAATCGGGAACTGTAAGAATTATCAGTTATTGATGATTTTTTTCTGTGTTTTCCCAAGAAAATCAAATAAAAACAAGATGAAACAGGAAAAAGAAAAGAAAGAAAGAAAAACACTATAACAATGTGATGATAATTGTCGATTGTACAGTATTTGGGGAAACCTTCAAAGCTATGAAATTTGACGATAAAAACATGAAAGAACAAAAGGGTAACAAATTACAAAGCCACCCAGAACAAATTAATTCCAAAAAAAAAAAAACAACCACAGAGTACAAAGCTTCAATTGGGATTCTCAATTTGAAACCAAAACTGCAACCCTAAAAGACTGAATCAGCACCGAGCAATCACGAAACCCAGATGAAGACGAATATAGCACGCGATCAGAACTGGAAAGGCTTCAACTTGATGAATTCTTCAAGAAATAACGCTCCCACCATGGTTGAATTGAACCTCAAAAGCTTCAATTGTAGAAATTATATTTCTATTTGAAAAGAAAATAGATGTATAATTCGGGAAAATTAGTGAGAAATTTAGAAGACAGAGAGATATAAAGATTGCAGAAAGAGAGAAAGCGAAGGGTAGATTTGTTTTTCGCAAAGATTGATAAAAGAAACGCGGTTGGGTCAATAATGGCGGTGAAGAAAGAGAAAACGTAAATAAATAGGATACGCATAAAAACTAAGGGATTGTATTTGGTGATGTTACATGATACAAGTTAATCATGTTGTAGAGATAAAATTGGTGGGGTTCAGTGTTTAAATAAATAAAAAAAAAAAACAAATTAAACAGTGGACCCCACCAACTTTGTCTCTATAACATGATGTAACTTATGTCATGTAACATGATAATTACATTTCCCAAAAACTAATATCTATATATATCTTCTTCTTCTTCTTTTTGAAAAAATATCTATCTATATCTCTACTAAGAGATTCTTTGGGAAATTTGCTCACATGGTGTAAATGGGTCAGGTTAGTCCAATCCAGTCTACAACCTGGTCTACATTGAGCCTAGCCTAGCCCGGCCTTTCAGAGAAAGTAGAGTAGGCTTAGTGCCTGTTTGGATCCTCTCTTTTTTAAGCTACAAGCTACTTATAAGCATAAACTAGGCCAAACAGGTTTTGGGAAAAGTTCTTATAACGAAAAGCTCTTTTTTTTATAATGAAGAAAAAAGCTGAAAACTAAAATTCCTAGGAGGAGCTTTTTTTTAAGCTCTTATTTGTTTTTCTTGAATTGTGTGCTTTTTTTTAAAATGAAGAGTAATAAAGATAGAAAGAGATAATTTTCTTGAAATATGTGCTTTTAAGTAATTTTTAAGCTAAAACTTTTATGTAATTTCCAAACAGCTTTTAGCTTATTTTTTTAAGCTCTTTTTTTTAGCTTTAGCTTATAAGTAGCTTATAGCTTAAAAATAAGAGGATCCAAACAAGCTCTTAGACTTATAAGAAAGTATTTTTAACAAATAGGTCATAGGCCAATTTTGTCAAGCTTGGCCTAAAGCCTTGTAGGCTTGCCTATTTAATTTATTAAAATAAAATAATATTTATTTTATGTGATAAAATACCAATACCAACCCTAATTTTTATGTGCACCGCCGCTTCTCACTCTCGGCTTCGTCTTTTCTTTCCCTTGTCTTGATGGTGGTTTGAAGATTTTTAGATGAATGACATTCTCTTGTAGACTTTATTTCAGCACCCAATAATTGTATTTTTTTTATTTTTCCCATTTCTTTGACTCTATTCCTCTATGATATACATTCTAGAGCTGAGGTATTAAGTTGACTCTTTTTTGTTTGTCATTTTTTTCTTATAAGAAGTACTAGTGCATGCATGAATAGAACTTTCTTTGCTCTATATAATTATTTTCTTTGCTTGGTATCTATAATGGGAGGCCTACAAGGCCTGTAGGCCATGTCAGGCTTTCTTATTTTTAAAAATATGCCAGATTTGGCCTACAAATAAAGTCTTTAATATGCTAGATAGGCTGAATTTTTTTTTACTTAGGATTGGGCCAGGAAGGCCAAAGCCCGGCCTAGCCCAGCCCATTTACACCCATACTCACATGTCACTTTGTATTAATTCTCCACTTTGTCTTTTTTCTGCATTAACTTAAATATTTTTAACTTAAAGAAATTTGAATTTAAATTATTATTAATTCATTGGTAGTAAAATATTTAGGGATAGTTTTGATGGGCTTTTTTTCTTCAAAGGTTGCTTTTTTTAGGGAAAAAAAGCACTTCTCACTTTAAATTCGTTTTGGATGTCTGCTTTTAAAAAAAGCAGAAGTCACAAAAAAACCAAAAATCTGCTTTTTTAATAAGCTAAAAAATTTAGCTTATAAAAAAAAATAGAAGTCCAAAGCCAAATATTTTTTTCAAAAATTAAATATTTTTATAAAAATATGAATAAGTTTAACTTTTGTAAAAAGTACTTCTAAAATAAGGAAGAGATAAAAGTTACTTTTTTTATTAGCCCAAACAAACAAGCTCTTAGTATTCATTGCAGTTCAAATTTAAATTTTGAATACAATAAAATTCCACTACTTTCTGCGTTGAAAAGTGTATAGTCTTTTAATTTTGTTGCATTCAATAAAAGCCATAATAACAATACAATAAAATTCCAGTACTTTCTGTGTTGGAAAAAGTTCAGCATTTTATGTTTTTCATTATTTCTCAAATTTGAATTTTTGATTTTGATAAGTGGAAAAACTAAAAGCGTTCAGCATTCAATATTTTTCACTTCTTTTTGCATAAGTAATTGTTAATCATATTCATAACAAAATATTATTTTATGAATAACAAAAAAATGAAAAAAATATTTGGCTTTGGACTTCTATTTTTTTTTATAAGCTAAATTTTTTAGCTTATTAAAAAAGCAGGTTTTTGGTTTTTTTGTGACTTCTGCTTTTAAAGGTTGGGATGATCCCCGCATTATGCCATTGCTCGTTGTATGCTTTTATTTCTTTGTTGCAGCCTTTAGACTTTGTTAAGGAAGACTAAACACAAATATTTAGTCATTTAAAAATTAAGACATTTTATTATATCATCTCATTTATGATATTGGATTATGGAGAAAATATTTTTGCAGAAGAAAAGCAAATAAAGAATAATGTCATACCTTCCTCAGGAAGTACAGAAGTACATATCCTATTTTGATTCGAAATCATCCCGTAAGCTTTGTTCTAGAATAGAGCTGCAAAAAAAAAAAAAAAACCAAAAATATTACATGTTCATGTAATAGAACATCTTGAGAATATGAAGAAGATAAACATACATAAAAGAGAAAAAACATGTGCACAAAAGCTAATTACTAAAGGAAAAGACCCAATAACACATTCTATTTATACACAAAATATTTGAATTTTTTTCACAGAATATTTTCATTTTTTTTAATTCATTTTTTTGTTATTCATAAAATAATTTTTTTTTTTTTTTTTTGTAAATATTTGGCTTTGGACTTCTATTTTTTTAATTACTACTTTGACCCTCATAAAATCATCATCTATTTCTTCAAAGGATGTTTGAAGTACTCGTACAAGTATTTTTTTTATAAAAAATCAACATAAATGTTTTAAATATATACGTACAACCAATATAAAAATTATAAATTAAAATTTAAAATTTATTTTTTCAAAAAATATGTATAATGAATATAAAAGAATTTAAATTTTTAGTTTAAATAAAAAAATGACATAAACTTCTGTAAAAAAAAATAATTATAAAAACTTAAAGAGCGATAAAAATGAAGGGTAAAGGATTTCAGTCAATGGAGATAAGTTATTTCCGGTGAGCCCAAAATGACGTCATTTTGGGACGAAAATCAAGGTATTTTTGTAATTATAATATATTGACGAGCTATATTAGTCTTTATTATTTTAATTTTTTAAACTTATAACTCTAAAACGAAATCGTTTTGAGCTCAAAGTTATCTCCATGACTAGAGAAATACTTTTCTCAAAAAGTGAATGACCATTCAGAGATCAGTGACCATACAATTCCTGCATCGAAAAAGATATTTGTCATTAAGTATTTTAGAGACTATTTTAATATTTTCCAAGACTTTTTGCATGGAATTTTTTAAGCCTATTAATAATGTTTATTATTTTGTCAATTGGGTTGGAAAAATATTTAATATTTTAAACTCAAACTTTTTAAATTTGAATTTTGAACTTGATAGGTAAGAAAAGAGTTCAACATTTAGTATTTCTGCAATGGGAAAAAATATGTATATATATAATAATTTAAATTAATATAAAACTATAATTTAAATGAAAAAATATTTAAAATTATAAAAATATATGTAGAGTTGATTAAAAATAATTTAAATTTGAAATTTAACAGCAAAAAAATAAGAAATGAAATATTTATACTTTAAAAGAAAATAAATTAAAATTTTAACTTAAAAATATAATACAAAAAGAGAGAGAAATTCGTATAAGTATTTTTAAAAAAAATTAAACATAAATGTTTTAAATATATATGCATAACCAATATAAAAATTATAGATTAAAAGATAAAAAATTAATTTTTCAAAAAATATGTCTAATTAATACAAAAGAATTATGTATAAAAAAATAAAAAAATTTAAAATTTGAATTTAAATAAAAAAATGACATCTATCATTCTATAAAAAATCAATTATAAAAGTTTAATCACTATAAAAATGAATGATTGTTCAGTAATCATCCAACTCCTGCATCGTAAAAAGATATTAGTCATTATGTATTTTGCATATTATTTTAATGTCTCTCTCTACTTTCTGTATGAAAAATTGTTAAACCTATTAATAGTGTTTATTATTATGTCTATTGGATGGAAAAATATTTAATATTTAAAATTCAAACTTTTTAAATTTGAATTTTGAACTTGATGGGTAAGAAAAGAGTTCAGTATTTTTATTTTTATTTTTGTGAGGGGCTATGCCCCCAAAACAAAACACAAAAAGAAATTACATCAAAGAATGTCTAGCCGTGTGAATAAAGCTAAAATCAGAAAAATACAATCACCTAATCTCAGAAGGGGGAAACTGAAATAAAATAAAATCTTCTTGATCTGAATTCTCCAGCGAAAGATTAGCTAACCAGTCCGCGCAAGCATTACCTTCCTTATATGTATGTAACAGCCGAACAAACCAATTTTTTAATAGTCATTCGCGTATATGAGTCACTAAATGAGACTCACAGGATGCATCACCTGATTTGATGAGCAGAGTGATAGAATAAGTTGAATCACTTTCTATAAAATAAATTCGCCATCCACCTACCTAAGTTCCCTCCAGCCCTTTCAGAATTCCCTCCAATTCAGCAGTAATTGCATTGCAATATCCCACCTTACAAGAGATACTTCCAACCACTTATCGTCTGGACCACAAATCAGACCACCACAAACAGCTCTACCTGGGTTACCTCTGGAAATCAGTATTTATTTTGATCCACTCATACTCAGGAGGCTTCTACCTAATCATGTTTTCTAGAATGGATCTGTCACGAATCCCTTTGTTATCCGCTTCACAAGCTAAAAGCACCTCCTTAGCATATGAAATTATAATCTCTATCTTGTACTTGTTTTCTATACCTCCTGCAGCGTGAAGAATTTCATTTCTCCATGACCA